ATTGTGTGTCTCTGTATGTGTATATGAGCATGCAGAACATCCTAGCTTATCTATCCCTTTATCTATTTTCATTTTGGCTTTGCTCTTCAATAAATCCCTCTGGTGATATATTCAGAGGGAAAGGAGACTTTCACAGTGACCTAACCATGTGATGCAAAAGCATCTTATCATCTCCATCAAGGATCAAGGATCCAGAGAGAAATAGTAAAGAGAGCAAGTGCATGTGTGTGTGTGTGTGTGTGTGTGTGTGCTGATCTTGATTTACATGAGCAGACCAGCATCTGCCAGCTGTGTTTTTCCTCTGCTCTCAGCCCCCTCAAGTGTTTTTGAAATATTACCCAGACATTCTTGCAAAGACTTCATTAAAACAACAACTAACAATATATTTTATCTAGTCACTTCACAGTTAGTATTAGACATTTTCTTTGTCCAGTCCATTTGCATTCTTACATTCTTATTAGTAAGCTCACACACAACACACTTTGCTGCAACCTAATAAATCACCCAAGTGTACACTTTAAATTACATGCATAAATTCAAACAGCATAAAGTTGACCTTTGCTTCTTGGTGGTCTGCGTAAATGTCAAACATTTATATTAACAAAAGGCCAAGGGAGTGTTTTAAATGCTCTGCATCTCAAGCCAAGCACTCAAACATCTTGTCTCTTGAATTATAACAATCTGCAACAAAGACACAACAATACTTTCAACATTCAGAATTAATTGTTTGGCTGGTTTATTTCATTTTGGTTTACGTCTAACATTTTTTTGTGCTTTCATAAAATTAACATTCTAGAATGTTTAGGACTGAATTTTCTATTCCAAATCCTTTAGCACCCTTTCATTTAAAACAGGAATTGTAAACCTTTTGCAAGCACATAGAACCCTTTGTAGGATCCCAGCCGTTCTCAAGCTTTCTCAAAATAGTTGAAGGCCCAGATATCACCGGAGTTACTCATTTTCAAGCTTTTTCATTTACAGAAACTAAGAGTGCAAATATTTAAATATGTATATAGAAATAAATTATATTACATTATATAAATTATATATAAATAAAACATATTATATATAAATAAAACATATAAATGATATTAATAATAACATGTAATTAAAATAATTGTAAAAATAAATAAATACAATAATTAACTTCATTAACTACATAATTTCAGAAGTTTTAAATGAATGTTCTTCAATGTGATGAATTTACATGACATTTCTAGTAATTTGTTATTAGTTTTTCTTATTTTTTCTCACAAATAGCAATTTCTAAATGATAAAATGTTTTAGTGCTAAAGAACTATATTCATTAAAAAAATGTCCTTGACTTTTTAATATTTCAGTAATTTCTGTGACTTCAAGGTTTTCAAGACCATGAGAACCCTAGTACATAAATAAAAATAGCTTTTGAGAGAACAAATTTAAAATGACATTAGCTTACATCTTGATTTTTAGCTTATTTAAAGACATGTTTGGTTTTATTTTCAATCTTTTTAAGCCATCTTGCAACCCCCTTGGAACTGTGCTTAGGCCCCCTCAGCCCTCTGCTTTAGTGGATACAAAGATGGAGCAGGGACCCCCGTTACATATTGTGTAAAACTAGATGTTGCATTTTAAGCCAGATTTATAATAGCATGTAATAGTACCATATTAATGATGTCATGCTTACATTCCTATTTTTGTTTAACGTTTTTTTTTTTTTTTTTACAAAAATTAGTTTGAGATGAATAATTGATGGATCTCTGGCAGACCCATGCTTAAAGCAAACTGACATGTATCACTCAAGAGCTGCCACTGGGAAGCCATTAAAGACCGACATCTGCCAAACACTTTTTATTGTCTGTAATGTTAGGCATTTATTGTATATCAATCTCATTTTTTCTGTAGCAGTGCCAAACACAGAACCAAAGCAGAGGCTTGTGCTTGAGCAAACTCCAGAAGCTGGATAAAACCCATATAAAATAGCTGAAAAAAAAAGGAGCAAAATTAATTCCACTACAAATTCCCAAGCCTTGTTTGTTTAGTTGGCCATAAGCTCTGCAATAGCACAGACCCAAGACAGTGTTTTTAATGTAAAATACTGCTGGGAGATTATTCTACAAACAAATATGCTTTATTTATAGGTTAAGAAATTAATCTAAATAAATATGATATCTATGTGAACACAAACAAGCAGAGGAGGACATTTTTCTTCCAGGGATACATTGCAATGCTCACACAAAATGACAGATTATGATTTCTCTCCTGAGAACAGCTTTAATTACTTGTGTAAATTGGACACAGATGCGTGATTAGATAAAAGACAGGGCTGTTTGTCTTTGTTCTCCAGAAACTTCCAGAAATTCTGCACATCACGGCTTTCCATATTGTAGGGGAATTGGATAAAACCCATATAAAATAGCTGAAAAAAAAAAAGGAGCAAAATTAATGCCACTACAAATTCCCAAGCCTTGTTTGTTTAGTTGGCCATAAGCTCTGCAATAGCACAGACCCAAGACAGTGTTTTTAATGTAAAATACTGCTGGGAGATTATTCTACAAACAAATATGCTTTATTTATAGGTTAAGAAATTAATCTAAATAAATATGATATCTATGTGAACACAAACAAGCAGAGGAGGACATTTTTCTTCCAGGGATACATTGCAATGCTCACACAAAATGACAGATTATGATTTCTCTCCTGAGAACAGCTTTAATTACTTGTGTAAATTGGACACAGATGCGTGATTAGATAAAAGACAGGGCTGTTTGTCTTTGTTCTCCAGAAACTTCCAGAAATTCTGCACATCACGGCTTTCCATATTGTAGGGGAATTTCTGAGAGCATTACAAGACCTGACTTATGAATTATGACTACTTATGAAATAAATAAATGATTCAAAGAGCCAATGATCCAATCAGTGCTTATTTTCAGCAGCTAAAAATAGGCAAAGTAAATGAGTAAATTTGGCAAAATAATGGGATAAAGATGAAGCGGTGTAAATAGGCTACTGTAGCCCAAACCACAGAAAGTTTCCAGTAATCCTGTGAGTTATGTGCTTTCTGCACTTATTTGCTTTAATGTTATATTTAATGTACATGTCCTCCCCCAGCTAATAGGTAACATTCTCAGAGCTAACGTGTTGGCAAGGCTCTCTCAAAGTAACGCTCAGAAAAATTAATAGAACATTGTTCAAAGTTATCTGGTTTCTAATACTGTTCTCAAAATGTTATTTATGCATTGATTATTTTATTTTTTTATATTTTAGTTGCATGCTCATCTAACATTTTTTAAATGTTACTTTTTGTTTCAGAACATGCAGAGAACATTCAAAAGTAACGTTCCCATAACATTTGCAAAACGTTCTTTAAACATATTTTTGTTAGCTGGGCCCCTCCCTAAGTTTCAGCTTATAGCCTAAAACTATGGGCAGCTCTATTTTCATGTTATCGCTTGAATCCATTCCCTAAGGACAGCTCTTGACAAATCAAAATGTCAGCATTTCATTACTGACTGTGATTGTGACTGTCCAAAGGATTATGATCAATGCCACATGCAGACAGCACTAGATGGGTGTCAGAGACAGTTCTGGAAAAGCTCTGAGCTTATTATCTTCCCCCCACTTCCTGTGAACCGTCACAAGGTCTTAAATTCTCCAGCTTAGTCTGAAAGCTTTGGGCTTAATTTCATCACACATTTATTTCAGATCACTTCTAAAATCCATAATCTAAATTGAAACTCATTTTAAAACGTATTTTAAATGTTTCTTATTATAAACATCTGCAAGCATGCTATATTTAGATGACTCAAACAGCAGTCTCTGGTAAATCTATTGCTGCACTTCACAGTTAAATGCTAATAGCTTTGCACTGCATAACAAAAAGGTAAATGGCAGCATTTACTGTATGTGTGGCTCTAAAATGACAACTGAAAAACTGTTTGGATTGAATTAGCAAATATGCATAATGTACATGCAGTCTGACACACGTACCACCACCACATATCTATCATGGTGAGGACTGTTTTATTAGAATATTTGTTTAAATGTATTATTATTGTTATGACCATTGTTATTATTATGACAAAATGACTTCCTGTGAACCGTCACAAGGTCTTAAATTCTCCAGCTTAGTCTGAAAGCTTTGGGCTTAATTTCATCACACATTTATTTCAGATCACTTCTAAAATCCATAATCTAAATTGAAACTAATTTTAAAACGTATTTTAAATGTTTCTTATTATAAACATCTGCAAGCATGCTATATTTAGATGACTCAAACAGCAGTCTCTGGTATATCTATTGCTGCACTTCACAGTTAAATGCTAATAGCTTTGCACTGCATAACAAAAAGGTAAATGGCAGCATTTACTGTATGTGTGGCTCTAAAATGACAACTGAAAAACTGTTTGGATTGAATTAGCAAATATGCATAATGTACATGCAGTCTGACACACGTACCACCACCACATATCTATCATGGTGAGGACTGTTTTATTAGAATATTTGTTTAAATGTATTATTATTGTTATGACTATTGTTATTATTATGACAAAATGTGTTACATTTTTACCATTTTTCCAATTAAAAATGTCCCTGGATGACTTCTTGGGACAAATTTGTCCCTAAACTAGAAAATACAAACACACAGACTGTACACATAAATGCAGTTCTTACCCAGTTCAGGTTCACTGTTATGGTCATCCATGGCCATCCTTTCCATGCACTTCTCTTTCTCTAACTGAATGACACAGTCTGGGTGCATGCAGTAGATCTGAAAGATGCAGTATGAGTAAGAGTGAAATGTTAGACACAACAGCTGTTTATGTACAAAATGTTTGTTCACACAGCAATGAACCACCAAAAATACTGTTTTGGTTGTGAGTCCAGAAAATGTATGAGTGTGAGTTTGCTTATAGAATGCTGTTGTCACTTTCTTAAAGAAATAGTTCACACAAAATAAAGATGTGCTTAAAATGTATTCATCCTCAGGCCATCCAAGATTTCAAGATCAATTAACATCTTGTGAAGTGAAAAGCTATGTGTTTGTAAAAAAATAAAATAAAATCCACTTATAAAGGCATTTTAATCTGTTGCTTGAACTCTCATTCTGATGGCACCCATTCGCTACAGAGGATCTATTTATTTCTAAACCTGTTCTGATGAAGAAACAAACTCATCTACATCTTGGATGGCCTGAGGGTGAGTTAAATTTAATCAAAATTTCATTTTTGGGTGAACTATTCCTTTAAATAATCGAACTGTGTGTGAACATAACCATATTTAGCACTCAAACATAGGACTGACAGCAGTAATTTGCTGCTGCGTGAATGTGGCCAATGTTTAGACTCTTCAAGAGGATACATTTACAATTTGTAGAAAGGCTACTAGAGATAATGTAAAATTCCTATATCCTTAACAGTCCCTATAATTCAAACTTGTTAAATGCTCATTTAAACGATAATTTCACCTGGCCGTTGTACTGCAAGTTTTAGTCTAGTGTAGGGATTTTAACAGTATTGTAGACAGGAAGCGAAGTGGGAAAGAGAGAGGGGGGACGGAATCGGGAAAGGTCCGTGAGCCAGGACTTGAACTCAGGACACCCAAAGTTCAACAGCACTATAAGTTGGCGTGCTGACGTGGCATGCCCACGAGGCTATTGGCGCCGACCCGACAAGTCTTTTTAAACAGAAATTAAGGAGATAGATAGGAAATGTATATGTAGGAAAGTAAGAATAATCTCAAATTCAGTAACATACTTTCAGAAGGTTTGTTCTATATTTTTTCTACTTTTGTGCAAGGAGAAAAAAATGATATCCTGCCCACTTCTAGCAGATTTTGAATATTGCTTATCTTAATGTTAAACAGTTTTCATATAGAGACAATATTACACACACCCACACATAGCACACAAGACATTAAATATCTTCAGCCCAGGGTCGAATGACATTCTGAGCCAATTCAAATGTGTGCTCCTTCTTATCTCTCCCACTCAGTGTCCGCTTTAAACAATCGCTACTTCCTGCTTCATGTATTACCAGGCCATTCATCTTATATCTTTGTACAAAAACAAAATTGACTAACGTTCCACAGCACATATGTTTCTTCACACAGAAAGTTGTGTTCTCCATCCAGATGAACAGTTACATGAATTTTGTCGATATACTGTTATTGTCTGTATTGAGTACATCTTGACGCTCAGATGTATCCAAGCTTTATTAATGGATATGAGCAAAGACTTGTTTGTTGCTGTCAGCTAGGTTACAGTTGTGTGTTTACAATCATAGTTAAGGCCTTTAATAAACCATGTTGAGAAATGTTTATGTATTAGACATATTGTTTGATAACCCTTTAAAAGCTTTGAGATAACATTACATGTCAAAGCAAAATGTGAGAGAAAACTGATTTGCTTGCTGGGTTAAATTATAAAATATTAACACTTTAGGGGATGTATGAAAATGTTTCTTCATTGGAACAGATTTGGAGAAATTCTTTAAGGCATCCATCTTTAAACTATCGCTTCTGGCCAGTTACGAGTACATAATAATAACGTTTCTTCCAGTGAAACAGTCATCTTGTCTGAATCAGGAGAGAAATGTCCATAGACCAAGCACTGTTTGAAAGCAAAACAGTTCTAAACAAATATGTTTTGATGTGAGAGGACAACAGGTGATGGAATTTTTCACTAGAGTAAGTGCTATTATTATGGACTTGTATTTTGGCTAGAAGCGACAGTTTAAAGTTAAAACAACTTAAAGGGGTCATATGATGCGATTTCAATTTTTCCTTTCTCTTTGGAGTGTTACAAGCTCTTGGTGCATAAAGAAGATCTGTAAAGTTGCAAACACTAAAGTCTCAAAACCAAAGGTGATTTCAACCGACTGAACACAGCCCTGAACACCGAATTGAGGTTTGCCTGTTCTTGCACTTGAATGGACAAATACATACAAAATTATGTAAAAATACCCGTTTTGGCGAGTATCCTCGAAAAACTGTCGGTTATATCTTAAGTGAACATAAACAGTCGAGAAAGAAATCAGGGGTGTATCATACTGGATGCATTTTCTCTTAAAGTGACCGCGCCTAATTTACTTGCTGCTGTCGGTGTCCTTAATGTCAATCCAAGGAAATAAAAGAGAGAAAATCACTCACTGCTCTTGACAGAATTACTTTGTAGTTTTAACAAGAACTAATATATATTTCATTTATACAGTGCAACGTTATTTTACATTTGATAATTCGGTTTCTGTACCTAAATACCTACAAACTTGAAAAAAAAACTAAACATTGTTTAATTTCTATGTTTGTTCTATTTATTTATTTGTGCTATTTACATGATTTCAAACAGGGCCCATGGGTACAACCTGCAACCCCCACAAACCCCAGCTAAGGCCCTGGATGTAATGGTAAAGAAACAAACTCATATTGGATGCCTGAGGGTGAGTAAATTCTCAGCACATTTTCATTTTTGGTTAAATATGCCAGATTCCCATGTTAAAAGAAAAATCCTTCATCAATAGAACTGCCTACAATACGCAATGGATTTAACAGAATATGAAATCACGTCATGAAATATAATAAACAAATCACTTTTGAAACCCTCCTTAACACTGCTGATTTGAGAACCCTGAGATTGTGTTTAGTGCGATAACTGGTCTCAGAGCACCGTTCTCCTTGTGTATTGCCTTGAAAACATGAGTAAAATTTAATAAACATGAGCACTTGCATTAATATTCATGAGGGCTGTGTAAGCTCTCACCCCTAACCCTGACTGCATCACAAAGCTGATTTCCATCATAAAGAGACTACGCAAATCACTCCTACATCGTGACAGCAACACAAAAATTCATACAAACAAGCAAATCCTTAAAACTATTTCATTCCCAGTATGTTTCTTTCTTTAATTTTTCTACACCCCTGCTTCTTTTGCTGTCAACTAATTTTTTTCTTTTACTTTTTTGTCCCCTTTATCTTTCTACACCATTACAAAAGTAGAACACATTCATTCTTATGGAGTTGAAATGTAGTTATACCAGTCTATGTTTTGTCAGTGACTATATTTTTTGAAAAGCGTGAAATGGACTGATTTTTCTCTGTCTGCTGTCTTCAGTGTGGGTGTGGGAATGTCACATGACAGGTAAATGACAAATATATATATATATATATATATATATACATATTTCAGCTTTAAAAAACACACAAATGCATGTCATTTCATGCAGGAAACAGATAGAGGGAAATAGGAAAGAAGAGGAGATACTCTACATTTTCTTTGTTTTTCTCTTGTAACAATAATCCCTTACAGTGTATCACATCAGTAATCCCCAGATTAACTGGAACTGGAAGGTAAAAACCTAAGTGAACTGTGGGATTAGTTGATGTCTGTTGAGAAACTCTTTCTTATAATCTTAAATTACCATGTGCATTTCTATAAAGGCAATCAAAATCAAACCTAAACCTTCTAAATCTGTTATTTAGAATTGTGTAACATTATATGGGAAAAATGTGTATATTATTATTTCATAGTCGTAGTATGACCTAGTTCATAGTATATTATTATTTTTTTTTTTTTAAATAATGCTTTGAATTCCACTGCTGGACACTGCAATTATTAAATAAAACAAAATAATCATTTGTGAAACAATTTGACAAATCATTCATTCTATTCCTATCCATATTATCATTTTGATATGTCTGTGTACTGTATATTATAGTTCATTATAAATATAGCCACATCACCATATGACGATTTTAACATTATTTATTGCTGATTAGATTTATTTTTAAATTTGTCGCTTATGTTTGGTGATCAGATAATTATAAGCGAACACAAATAGCAAAAATTCTGTCCATTGCATGTCTTGGTTACCGTATCCTTATTGCTCATAGCAGCCTATTTTTATTTATTTTTTTCATTTCAATGAGTTTATATTATTGCACTTCATTTTTTGGTCTTTAATCATTTGTTGATTATTAGGAAGGTTCATTTTGCCTATAGTTTTTGCATGTTTTTGAATCTGTTATTAACTTTCATTCAACACTAATAAAAAGTCAAATTTTTTTTTTCAACAGAATTAACATTGTTCATCCTGTAATGGTCATAATTGAAACTGCTAACTGAGACAGAGCAGAAGTATAAACTTTTGAAAATGTTCCATTGCAATGCCACTGCCAGCTTTTAGAGTTAACATAAAGTGAAATAAAACAGCATGGCCTTTGTTGCTCGAAGTACTCATTGTACCATAACTGTTTTGGCTCTTGGGCAGTTTACATTTGGCCTGTCTGGTGCCAATGAGCATTAGATGCCAGGAACCATCTAAGTGCCAGTGTGTATGTGACGTAAATTGTCCTTGGATGTTTGTTTCTCCTCAGCTGGAGGTACAGACAGTAGACCAAAGAGAGAATGGTTCTTCATGTAAACAAAGAAGGCACTTCTCCCCTCAGTTATGAGAGGATACCATGTGTATAGAACGAGCAGTCATCCAGGAAACAAGAAATGCCTCTAAATTTGACCGTTTGTATGTGGATTATTTACAGAATGCAATAACAAGAGCAAGAGCATGAAAAAGGATGTGCAGGCGTCTCTTTTTCTCCCCAAGACCCCACTCCGTCATAAATTTCTCTCACACTCACTCTCTCTCTTCCTCCTTCTCCCACACGGTCTCTGTCTCCTTCAAACCTTTAATTCTCCTCTTCGGGAATATTTCTTCTCTGAAGCCTTATACATATACTAGGATGGTCTGTCTCCATTTTACAATTAGGAATGTATTGTGCTTTTCAATTCCATCATGTTTAAATCAGTGGTACTTTCATGCAATCCAGGTCCATTAATCCAATGGATCTGCCTTAGCTTACCAAAGGGAGAAGGATGAGTGCTAAAAACAGGTGCTGACATTTCCTCACTGTGGAAGCCATTTTGTCTGGAGCACTGATGCGATTATATCCACCGATCAGCAGCAGCAGAGGGGAACAACAAAGTGCTGGATGGTAAACAGGTACACTGGAAAAATGCTGCAGTTCTTCAAATCACCATCAGATCTGAAAAATAAATAAATAAATACATAAATAATAATAATAATAAAAGGTTTTAGATGCAAGTGAGATTTTAGCTCCTGCTTATTCCAGTTGAGTTTATGAGGCATTCAATCAAACCTCAAGAGCAGTGTATTTGCAACCTTGTAGGGACATAAAGGTAACGGTTCACTCATGTCACAATCAAAAGTGAGTTCAGACCAACCAGACACAAGTAAAGAAATGCCAAAAAAAAAGAAAAAAAAAAAGAAAAAAGCATTTTAATGTTCCAGGGACTAACAGGTTTTAACTTTAAGGTAATTAAAATGATCCAAAATTGTAATTATTTAATTATAAATTAATTTAAATTGTCTTGCCCTTTAGTCTCATTTTCAGAAGCTTTTTATGTCTAGGCTATTGTTTTACTCAAACTGTATTTCTAGACACAGACCTTCAAATGGCCATGAAAGTCCTTCATAAAAGTATTATATTTAAAAAAAACAATGATAATATAAACATCAAGTAAAACAATTCTACACAAATTCAGTACTGTGTGAAAAATATTATTATCTATTTTTACAAAAATTAGGACTGTCCTTCAGTTGCGTAATTTCCATCAAAATCAACAGTTTTGCCACTAAACAAAATTACCAAGGAGACAAAAGCATCAGTCAAGAAAAATTAAATATGAGATGCATGAAGAAAATACAGAAATATTGTAAATATTTTTATTGTGCATTGTTTCTATTAGTCAAATTATGCCACAGTGTTATTCTTTTATATATATATATATATATATACAGTGGCGGCTCGTCGGGGGAGGCAAGGGAGGCACAGCTTCCCCAAAATTTTGAGGTGAAAATGGGAGGAGGACGATTTAATGTTAATAAAATTCACAATTCATTTCAGTTCATGTCTCTGAATGTGTATTTTTTGTTTGTAATTTCATACCATAACATGATGTTACTGAAGTTGGAAAGCGCAGCTTTTCTATTGCGAATGTGCCGAATCTGCTGGTGTTACAACCGCTAAGTGATAGAGAAGGGTAGGGGGAGGCCGTGGGAGAGCTGAGCTCTCGTGCCTCCGTTGGTAAAAAAAAATTAGCCAATCAGCATCGAGTGTTCACTTTCAGTGCTGAGGAGTGTTGAGAAAAGAAACCTTGCAGGGGAGGCTAACCTCCCTTCTGATATCAACCAATCATCATATATACAAACAGTATATATACAAATTAAAAACAAAGGGAGAACACGCCTAAGCTGGATATAGGCTAACATTACAGCAGTCGGCTCTTTTAACACAGACTAAAGGGATGGATCTTTGCTTCAAGTGATAGGCCAGGTAAGTGAAATTATATTATCTTGCTGTATGTGTGTCGTTTTCTTTACGTTTTCTGACTAAAAGCGACCAAAAAGCCATTTTAAAGTGGTTAAGCAAATAATAATTATAAAAAATCGGCAGGGTTCCCCAGACCAATACAATTAATGTGCCTCCTCTATTTTAAAAACCACGAGCCGCCACTGTATATATATATATATATATTTTATTAAATCACTCATTACCACCACATAATGGTATTGCACACATACATAATTTGGGATGGTGGAAATGGCATTGTGGTGGAAATGTTCATGATATTGATATTGAGATTGAATGGGCTGGTTTCAACACACTCTATATTGTACATATACAGTATTATATACCATACATGGCCACCAACTACACTGACCACAAACAGTACATGTGTCTAGCGAAAACTATAGGGCCTATTATTGTTAAGTTGTTTATCCAAAAGACCCGTATCATAGAACACAGCCTTATGACGCAACTCACGGTATTGCTAGGATAATTGCTGATTCAATTCTCTTCATCACAAGCACCAATCTCATGAAGGCAGGGGGAGGAAGGAGCTGTAGGGCAGACTTTGGTATACTTATATGGGAGAATGAAAGAGATAAAGAGAGCATAAGTGTTATGGATGGATGGATACATAGATAGATGGAGGGCTGGAGGAAGAACGAGTGGAACAGCTGCTCTGGAAACAGCTATTGCTGTAATTAATGGGTATAATGAAGCTGACTGGCTGAGAACTCCCCAACGATGCCTCAAAATCACTCTGAGACATGCTAGACAAGGATGTCAAAATATCTAAAGAAATATAGGTGGGGAAAATCCATTTTACAATGAATGTCGTCTCTAGGAATGTGTATATTTGAAAATGTACATCTGTGCTGTGCATGTGTGTTTCCTCTGCCTTTGAAGTGTGACTATGAGACTCAGTGGGTGATAGTATGGCAGTATTTGCACATGTGTGTGAGTGTCAACATTCCAGAGTGTGTGCTCAAGCTATCAGAGACCACAGAGAGGCTGCATCACAGCAATCACAACAAATCCTCTCCACAAAAGGACATGCCTTCACAATTAGGTAAAACTGATTCTACTGACAGAACAACATATGGGTTGGTGGGTCGTCCTGTATGAGGGAACTGTTAGGCTGGATTGCTTTTACCAAAGCATTTGAATATTTGATATTTCGTCTAAATTGGCAAAATATTATGTGGAGTGTGTTAGCATTTAGAGGTCAAACACTGCTACTGACAGCTTGGCTAGCTGAAGGGCATACTTCAGGGACAGGTGGCACTTCATAGCCTACAGTATGTGAAAGATTTAGTGCCATTCCTTAAGCATTTTCCTGGCTTTCAGGTCTATGACATCCAATGTAATTTCACTCCATTCTAGGCTGAAATGTGATTTATTTTCACATACCATTGCATAAGTAATGATATTTGGTTTTGTATATGTGTAAATAATCTTGATATTTTTATCTTTCTATGATTTGGTACACATTCTGTTATGAAATTGTTTTGCATATGTTATACTACTATTTAAAAGAAAATGGGGTTTTCTATAGTAATTACTTTTTTAGTAAATGTCCACCCAGGCTGCATTTATTTGATCAATAATACAATAAAATATTTAAAAAAAAATTTAAATAGCAAAACTGAATTTTCAGCAGCCACTACACCAGTCCTGTCACATTATCCTTCAGAAATCATTCTAATATGCTGATTTGTTGCTCAAGAAACATTTCCTATCATTATAAATGTTGAAAAAGGTTGTGCTGTTTAATATTTTTGTGAAAATCATGACACATTTTCCCCACCATTCTTTGATGAATAGAAAGTTTGATGAAAAGAAAGAACGGCATTTATTTTAAATTGAAATCTTCTTTAACAATATCTTTACAATGTCTAACAATCTACTGATCCCAAACTTTTAAATGATAGTGTGCATATGATTTCTGTTTTCATTGGAAGTGTAGGTTTGTACTGGTTTTCATTTCAAATAGGCAAGTCAAAGTCATCATACCTAATGTTGGGGAGAAAGACTCTTAATATATAATCGCTGTTGAATTTGGCTTTTGCTAAACTTTTAATCCAAAAGATTAAATTCCTGAAACTCAAACACAACAAGTAAAAAACTATTCTAAATAGGATGCCGGTGTAAAAAAAAAACAAGTCATGCCTGCTCTCCCCAACCTCCTGAGGCCAGCGATCCAGCCAAGGTTATTATCACACTCCAAATGGCTTTGGGAGACGTAATAAGGCATGTCAGTCTGACCAGCTGACAACCCTGGTTTTCATTCCCCACAATGATATCTATCAAACACACACACAGCGCAGAGACACCACAATGTTGCAATGTTCCAATATTGCTATATAGCTGTATTAGATCTGCCCTGCTCCACTAGCTAGTGGTCATTTGAAGCTAAAGTAATTTGTCAGACCACCACTCACAATATATCCAGACACAATATATCCAGGTTTAGTGTGCAGAAAGAAAGAAAGAAAGAAAGAAAGAAAGAAAGAAAGAAAGAAAGAAAGAAAAGAAAAGACCATAAATTACCAATATGGAGGGAATGAAAGGAATATGCAGTGGATTTATTCATTTTCATCCTTGAGGATGGATAAAATCTGTCACACATGCATAAGATGGATCTCTGGCCTCATTTCTCTACTGAATATTCTTCATAAATCTCAGAGTGTGTTAATGCCGAACTAAGGCTGACAAATCATGAACTAAGTCACTAAAGTCTGCACAGCTACATTTAGATTGTCAATTGTTGTTTGAAGAGGAAGGAGGGGGATTACCATTAGCATATAAACACATTTCTGTCTTTAAAACACTGAGCGAATACATAGCGTAAATCAGGAATTAGGGAATTTGGAGTCTCTTTCTCTCTTTATTCTTTTCTCTCAGTACAAATCACAAGGGATTGCATGGGGTGACTTCAATTACTGTGCCATGAACGCCCAGGTATCAGAATGAATTGTTATTATTAAAGAAGCACTGTATGTATGTGATACAAGCACAAATCATTTAAACAGGGTGTCAGCGGCTGACAACAGGCTTGCAAAATGTGAATGTAGAATTTATGCCCAATGTCAAAAAATGCTGAACACTTGTGTGTGTGTGTGTGTGTGTGTGTGTGTGTGTGTGTGTGTGTGTGTGTGTGTTTATGCATATATCTGTTAGTGTGTCACGGTATGCAAGATACACACATTACGATACAAACTAATGGCATGAGACACCGAGACACGCATTCAGCAGACAGTAATGACTACTGGATTTTGCAGGGTTGATTCTGTGAATTCACTTACTCAAAGAAAATATATTTCCTTACATATATGTATTAACAATCAAAATATTAAATTGAATTCATATTGAAAATATACAGAATAATATAGTGTATATAACAATATATTGAAAAATAAATAATGACAGATTTTCATAAATTGAAAAATATGTGACAATTTACTTATAATATATTGTAATGTATGTACATTTATATTCAATAATACACTTCATAATATACAGATGTACTTGTGACAATATATCGTACTGTGTATGTATAAATATATTGTACTGTGTGTGCACAAATATATTTGAAAACACACACACACAGTGAGCAAACAGATTTTTATTATATACCATCACACACATTAGTTTATTTATCATTGCTTCTTTGTGCATGTTAATCATAAAATCATAAAAATGTGCTGCACAATCTTATAAACCAAGGACTTAAAAGTACAGCTGAAAATGTGTCTATGTACATTCTGATCTTGAAAATATCAAAATAAAGTCAGCTCTGATTAAACAAAATTATATGGGAATATACTTGAAAATATAATGCAATATATTAAATAATACATTTCCATCTATGGGAAACTGTGCTATTTATATATAGCATATTTATCAATATACTGCAATATATGGTCCATGAATGGCTATATATTGATACATATAAAACATCTATAGCAGTAATAACAAAAAACTGCACTACATTTTTACATGTAATAGCTTTACTAAACAATTAATTACTTTCTCTTCCATGAGTTGACGCATGGGTTTACATAAAGCTGTACACTTATCTGACTTTATTGTTTGCATATAGTTACACATTTCATATATGAAAATGCATAGAGTGTTTCATAAAGTTATAGGTCTATTAATTGAGGCGTACTATATGCAGACAATATAGACCAATACTTTATCTAGTTTGAAAGTGATGCCAAAATCAATTAAAATTTGCGCAGAAAAGCCTGCAGTATCCTGCCTCTTTATAAAATGTGTTAAACTGGGATCTCAACTCAATATCAAACACATATAAACCTGTTCATCTTCAGTTCTTATATCATTAGCGGTGAGTGGTTGTAACTGAACACCATATAATGTGTTGTAATTTTTAATGGTGCACTAGCAGAGGTCCATCGAACTGAACTGAGAGTAAAATTGTAAAACAGTTCATTTGCACAACACATGCAACAAAATAACTTGAGAGGTCTGTTTCAAAAGACACCAGAGAGCAGCAAGAATTGAAATGAATACCGACGTAACAGTTACAGAGGCTCTACAGTGGGTATGCTATACTATCCAACACAAACAGGGAAAGGAAAGAGGAAGGAAGGAGAGAGACTGGTCTCCTATTCACTGCAATCAAATCAAATCAAAGTTTTTTTATTTTTTTTTATGCTCAGTTCATTCAAAACAGAGATCAACAAGTAATAATAACATAATTTTATGCATATACTCAGGACTTTCAGAAATCACACCACCAGGGCTAGTAAACAAAAAAGTTGATTTAAGGGTAAAAGGTGACTTCACACATTGGCAAATATGTAAATATATTTAATGTAATGTAATGCATAATGTAAATTAAATATATTAAATATTTTTTATCTTAAAATTAGGAACAAACTATTCAGCAATGAGGTAAGGAAAAATAAAAAATGCAAAGAGACTGCGTAACGTGATGAATTTAAATTCAACACACTGAATGCAATTTATATATACATATTTTAAGAATTTCTGCAATATCTGCAATACATGAAATGGATATAAAGTAATAGGTCTATATATATTCCCTTATAAGTTGGTGCTGCCATTTTACAATCATCGCACTATAGTTTGGGTGTGGCGTGGCTATAAGGTTTCAACATTTATAATTCATGTAGGATGAATACAATCAAAGTCTTGTAAGTCATTGACTATTAATATAGCAATAACGTGAATATACGGTGGACAAATTCTGTGATCTGCTGAACTGTACATTAAAATCATTTATTAGCTAATAATGTTTTAAGTTGTGGTATATCATACCAGCTCTTACTAACGTGTTTTAATAACAACATGAGAAGCAGCTCCATGACAGTTAGGCTATCTGTCCTTTAAACGGGACGATGTTGCACGCTGATCCTGTTTTTTTTTTGTTTTTTTTTCTTTGTTGCTTTTTTGCTTTTAATGCATTTGAATTTATCATAAGGAATGCACATTGCACTAAAATGTAAAAATGAACCGCACAACTCCCAGCTGGCTACTACTACTAAACATACAGTAAATCGCAGACCGTCTTCAAACCACTCTCCAGCCAACCCCATTAAATAGCATTTCGACCACCAAATCCACAGTAAAATGCACAATATAAAAACTGACATATAAAATGGAAGTATTCGCTCAATAATATCCATACGAGAGCTATTGATTCGTACTGAACATTCAGTACACATGCAGCAAAAAGAATGAAATGCGTTTCGATACAGAATTCACTAAATGGTCACTGCAAGAATTAGTAGTATACAATGAATCATGAATCTTACTGACCCAGTAGGCAGATGGTCTCGCGAAAGGATGTGTCAACACGATGCAGAATGCAGAGTGTCTCGCGTTGTCAGTCACAGGCGTTGTAACTGCTGCGGCGCGCTGGTGCACAAACATTCCCTCAAGACGCCCCGAAAAACTTCTGTGGACAAGTAGTCTCTCTCTCTCGCTCTCTCTCTCTCTCTCTCTCTCTCTCAAAGATGAACGAGGGAACAAACGTCTGATTAAGGCAATTAATGAAAAATACGCGCACATAAATACATATAAAAGCCAGGGTTTGAGTTAAGGGATGTGATCTGGATGTAAGTCGCAATTCTCTATATTGTAGTAACGTTGCAGTGAGTCCAGTCCAGAAATAAAGCTCTACTAAGAAATGTCGAAAATCAGAGGTCAGGGGAAGTCAAAGCTGTTGGTAGATCTTAAAGTATATATATTTTTTTCTGCATAGGCCAAAAGTCAAAAACAAGTCCAACGACGAGAACAGAATTAGCGTTCGCGTGAGGAGGTAACCACAGCAACCATCGCTGATCGCTGATGAATGCTTTTCTTTAGGTTCCTTCGGGCGGTGGTTTGACCAAACGGTCTGTGTCATTATTTATCACTTAGTATATATATATATATATACTAGAAACCGCTAGTAACTTTCAAAATAAATTACAAAGAAACAGCAAGTATCACACATTGAATTAAACAATCGGCCTAATCTGTGTTTTAATTATTACTGGAAGTCAGTGTATTTTGTTTAAAAAATCTTTATTTTTTATGCAAAGACAACTTGCGTTGCGGTTGCACAAGACGAACCTCAACAAACTGTACCCCTAAAATGACAGAAATAACTTTAAAAAGTCGACCCTCCAAATGTAATTGTATAATACGCACTCTGGACTGTAGAGAAACATATTTCGTGTTAAAGAGTAAAAGAGTGTGACTGTCAGTGCATTATCCTTTGTTCTGTACACGCTGATCAGTGAGTTAAAGGATTTCACTATTCAGCTCATGTTTGACCCACATCCGGAGACAGCTGCGCTGCAGTACAGCTACTCCAGAAGACGCATCAGGACCCTGGACAGCGGCAGATGGAACGTTTTATCGATCATGTTACGTCACTCAGCGTTGGAAGAAAGCCCGTGGTTAATAAAATTCCAAACATTTCAAACATTTTAAGATTTTTTTTTTATGGTGTATAAAATACAGTCTGCTGCAAGTCACTGTCCAAGACTTACTTATATAGCTCAAGCAAGCTTCCAAATACACCATGTTTTATACTAACGTATTTAAACGAATATGTTATTGCCCAAACTAAAAAATATTATAAGCCACATCTGAAATATGAATGCAGATATATATAAAAAAAAATTTCAATCTAAATAGTAAACGTCTTCCAGCTCAATTTTCTTTAGCAGTTCAATTCAAAATTATCAGAAATTCGATGAACAGATTGTAGACTGTAACTTTGACACTTAAAAAAATTAAGAATTTCAATTTCAGTGACTTGTGTCATGTGTTAAATGGATGACTATGATGTTTTGTATATGACTATGGATGTTTTGACAGAAGTTTTTTTTTTTTTTTTTTGCTACGTGCCATGATTTTTATCTTACCTTCCAAAACTTGTGTACTAAAGCAACTGCAGGAGATTGACTCATCACTGGCTGGCTGCTGTGTAGGAGGGCAAGACAGAAGGGGACACATTTTCTCATTAAAAATAGAGATGGAGACATAGAAGATGAGGAAGAAAGGATAGAGAATGGTGTCAAATCTGAGTGCAAAGAGCTTGGTTGCTTGTCTTTTCAACTGTCGAGACATTTTCTTTCTATGCCATTTCTGTGACTTATTGCATATCACCATTTTTGTCTGATCTTTCCTTCTTTACCCTTGTTCTGCATTGAAACTCTTTTAGCTAATTTGGTGTTCTCGGTCAAAAATTACTGTCCTTTTATTGAATCCAATATCTGGTTATAGTATAGCATAATAAGAAATTTATAACTAATATTTTGTAGCATGCACAGTAAATATCTCCACAAAAACTGAAAAATTAAGGCAAATTATTGCCTGTTATGTACCAATTTTAAACCTCAAATCCGTGCTGTCAAATTCCCGGCATCAATTACTGTTAGTTAGTGGTGCCTTTTGACATTGATTTTTATAACATTACATTTTTCTTTGCCTACTTCTCAGTTATTTGTGTGCTTTTGCTCCTTTTATTCTGACTTTTGAAGAATTAGTTCACCCATAAATGAAAATGTTGCTGAAAATGTAGATGAGTTTGTTTCTTTATTGGAAAAGATTTTGAGAAATTTAGCATTACATCATTTTCTCACCAGTGGATTCTCTGCAGTGAATGGGTGCCGTCAGAATGAGCAAGGCTTGGAAGCAAGGTTTTTTTTACAAACACGCAGCTTATTGCTTCTCAAGATGTTAATTGATAGACTGGAGTCATGACAATCACTTGTCGATTATTGTGATGGTTTTATCAGTTGTTTGAACTCTCATTCTAATGGCACCCATACACTTCAGAGGCTGCATTGATTATAATGCTAAATTCTCCAAATCTTTTCTGATAGAAAATATTCATCTACATCTTGAATGGGCTAAGGGTGAGTACATTTTCAGAAAATGTAAATTTTTGGGCGAACTATTTCTTTAATTTTTTTTCAGTTTTACTATTTGTTCCCCTCTCTCATTTTTTCTTCATTCAATGCCTCTCATTATTAGCTGCATAGATGCTTTCTGAAAATTCATATCTGCATTGTGGATATCGCCCTATGATGCCTCATTGAAAGGTGGGAAATATTATGGCACTGTGTGTGGTTACCACGGTAACAGGCATTTTGGATGTGCAGAAGCAGAGATAGCTGAGGAGTGTGGGAAAAAGAAAGGGGGAGACACAAGTGGTGTGTGTATGTGTATGTGAGTGTGTGAAATCTTTGAGTGTATGAAAGCAATGAAGTCAAAAGAGAGTGCTGCTGGGTTCACAGAAAGCATGTTAAAGGATTTTGCCTTTATGACCCTGAAACAAACGAGAGGTCCTCTGTGTTAACACATTATGTTACATTACTGAACTTCATGGCTGCTCTTTTTCATGTGTGATACTGTCCAGCTGCAGCTGTTTGAGTGTGAGTCTCTTCTAGTCTAATAGCTGGTGGCTAGAGTTCATTCAAGCACTGTTTCTTGGCTCTCAAACAACCTTTGATTCATCCAGTAAGGCCCCTCAGGCTTTGAAGTTCACTCAGAATCCAAATGGATTTGAAGTGGACTCTTCGTCTGCAGGGCAATCGTAGAGAGTTGCAGTGGCCAAATGGCCTCTGTCTTATTGGTACCTTGTAAGATTCTCTTTCCCTGTTATTATAATGTCACCGTTAAACACTGTTGTGCCGTATTTTTTAATTTTGCTTTTAAAAGAAGATTTATGGTCATAAAAGCTAAGAAATGTTAGCCTTGCAGGTTTAAACATATTGCTCAAGAGTTTGTTTCATAAGTATACATTATTAGATTTCAGTGGATGCCAGTAAATGATGCAAGTAAATGTCCACAAGCATTAATTACCACAGGGTTTCTGAAAAATAAATAAATAAATAAACAACACAATATGCTAGAAATTATTGTATCATCATTTGTATCACAGAAATAATCACTGATGCTGGACCAAAGGGCTCCTAGTCAGGTAAATGTGTGCAATGAGGGTTATAAAGATGCATTGACATAACTGAACAGTAAAATTCAATGCATACAGTTGCAGTCATAACTGTCATAAAATAATTTTGTTTACAATATTGTTAAAATTACTACATATAGTAATAGATTTTGCCAGGTGAATGTAAATACACTTGAGGGGTTTTGTAACTACAATTCTATTTTATGATTATTATTATTATAAATTATTATAATAATTATAATAAATATTTTATCTTTACGCCTGTAGGTGGCGACAAGTGACAGTCTTTTGTCAGTATGTTTCGTCTGCCTGATTCATTCACTTAATTGATTCGTTCAAAACACTTATTCATTCAGGAATGTAAAAACTGACCCTGCGTTCCATTCGGAAGGGCTCATCCCTATGCCCTAATCCCTTCAAAGGGTTTACCCTCCGGAAGGATCGACCCTTCATAATGGCGGCCATGATTGTTTTCACTCCGAAGTGCCCTTCGGAGGGCGATATATCCCATTTGGAATGCACCATGACTTTCATGAGTGAGTTATTGAATCATTCACTCAAAAAATCAGCTCAAGAACGAATCGCCACTATGTCTTCGAAGACACGCAATGTTTGCAGTGTTTCAATTTGACGCCATTTTGGAAGTATTTTCATTGGCGGAGCAAAACTAAGTTTTGTGTAGGTTACTGGATATTAATTTCTTGCTTATTGAATCACTGTATTTAATGTCACACATGCATTCGTGCTGGTGGTCTGAATATCAGCCCACACTAGCCTATTCTCTAGCTTTATTAAGAAACACAACTATTCCTTAAATCACAACAACCCGCACTATTCAAATAAAATTATTAAATGTTAGAGACTATCATTAGAAATAGGTATTTTGTTCTATAATAGACAAATGAGGATACTGAAAATAGGATTGATTGTTTTGTGTTCAAAATGACATGTAAGACTTTTTTAAGTACCTTTGATGTCTTGTCTTCCATTGTCTGTCTTTGTTTTTCCCCCTTCACTGTCACTTTGTATCCTCTCAGGAAGAGTGTTCTAGTCAGAAAACAATGGTTTGTACATTGACTGATGTTTAGTGAGCCTCTCTGCAGCCAAGCTGAATTCTTCAGGTTTGTAGAGAAACATAAAACATATCTTTAAATGTGTTTATGTGTGTTCCAAAGAGAAAGAGAGAGATCAGGTATCAATACACCTCTATCTGTAGATAGTGGTAGCTTAGGTGGAAAACCATATAGACTGCTTATGTTTAAGCTTGCAAAAATTATCATCTCCTTAGTTCTCTGAGACTATTGGTGTTGTCATGGAAACAGATTCCACCTTAAAGCTGGGTTGTGGAGAGTGAAGAAAAAAAATGGTGGAAACCTGATTTTGCTAAGAGAGGTTTATATAGGATTGATGAGAAACATTAAAGTACATGGATAAAGAATAGAAGGCAAAGAGGTATTTCTTATAGTGTGATGGACATTATATAGAGATGCAACATACTAATTAGTAAGAGGAGTGGAGCTATTGTTTAATGGTTGCTTCAAGTATTTATTTTTTATTTTTTTCTGTCTTTATAAAACAGACAAAATTAGGGGGAACATTTTGATCAAGAACACAACAG